GACCCCAAGGGCCTTGGAGAAGGGGTTGGTCAATTCATCCAGTTAACAAGGCTAAGGTTTCTTGAGGAGTTCAAGGGTTATAGAAGGGGAGGACACCCAATTCTTGTTAGGAGGGGTTCCTACAAATTGTTCAACCATTCTACAACTACCGCCACTGGATCTGATCAACCATTCTTTTCTTTTCTATTATTTTTATTTTTGCAATCTTTTAGATTTAATTCTTGTTCGTTTTTCTGTTTTGCAGATCTGAATTCGTTCGGTTCAAGGTTAAGGTGTCTTGAGGGGTTCGAGGGTTGTAGAAAGGCCGAACGCCTGGTTCTTGTCAGGAGGGGTTTCTGCATGTTGTCTGGCCGATCTGCATCTACTGCCACCGGATCCGGATTTTGGATTATTTTTTTTTTAATTTATTTCTTTCATTTCCTTTGTTGATTCCCATACTTTATTAAATTCTAATTTTTATTTATTGTCTTGTTTAAATTCGAAACATTTAATTTCAGCAATAATAGATTTTATTTTCATATTTTCTGCCATTCCTTATTGCATTCTCTTGTCTGGATCTAAGTATATATTAATTTTTCACTTTCTTCCCTATGGATATGACCCATTCTCACTCATTTACTATGTTAGTAGTTGTTTGAGAAACGGTAAAAATTATAAATATTTAAACTAGTGTTTCAGGGTGTTTAACGACGTGCTTCCGGATACACCAGTGACATAAAGAAATGGTGCTGACCAGGGTCCTATAGAAATGGGGTGAAGCTGACCTATGCTAATGTTATATAGTTGAACACCTCAGGAATAAGTGGATGAAGGAGGAACCGAAGACCCATCCTTAGGGCCTCCTCGAAAATGGTGATCTCTTCCTTATCATGCTCCCAAGTGTACTGCCCAAGGGGAAGGGAATAGCTAAACTGGTCTGGGATCCTATATTGAGCCACAAGCTCGTAAACGTCCTTGACAGTTAGCTCAACGGGACCAAACTCAGACTTACTCTTAGGTGGTTGACGAAAGGATGAGGCCCTCTTATGGGAACCTCTCCACTCTTGGGCCGAGGACCCCTCCTTGGCCTAGCAGGTCGGACACCTCTTTTCCTCAGACTCAACACCAGACATAACGAAAAAAGACAAGACAAAGGAAAGACGACTCACCTAAGAACGAATAACACTAAAAATGCAAATGTTTGATCATTATGTCGAGATTGCGAATGGATTGGAAGGTCATTACCATTGTTGAAGCACATAAAAGAATTCAATTTCATGAAAGCACAATCTTATTTGTTAGTAGAAATAGGAATCTACAAAAATGCTTATTTTTTCCATCGTATGACAATTATTCTTCTTTCTTACCTACTGTGATTTTATTATTGTTCACACAACTTTCATTAGACTATTTCATTTATAAAATGTTCATTATTGTTTATAAAGTTATTGTTTCTGTAATGAAGACTACAAATTCATATAATTGGCATTATCAAATAGTTTAAAAACAGAAAACTAATTCTTTTCAAAAACTGATTAACAATATATATATATATATATATATATATATATATATATAATTAACTTCCCCATGCTTAGTACGGGGTCAATCACTAGTTAGAATATATAAAATCCTATTCAATTTTGAATATCAACAAATGAAAGTTGGATCTACCTATCATTCCTTTGCAGCCCTACCTCAATGATAGTCTTCTTCATGTTTTCCATCAATACCCCATACACATAACGGGATACAAAATGTGGTGTGGCCATATCAAATTAAATCAACCATGGTTGTATCAAATTAAACCAACTTTGACGTGCCGTATCAAATTAAAGTGTCCACGTGATTATTATAAGAATAATATTATATTGTGCCCGTATCAAATTAAAATAACAATTATTAATTTTAAATAATTATTATTTATTATCATAATTAGTAATTATTATAAGAATAATATTATATTGTCCTGTATATTATTTTGGTAAATTAATCATTCAATTTATATTGAACCATCCATTCTATTTACCTTACCAAACATTAAAAAGCCTTTTTATTGGAATTTATGCCAAGAAAGTATATTAGAGTGAGGGGTAGGATTCTAAATATCTTGTTGTTATGGTCAGTATGCAAGACTGCTTGTGCTCTTTGACCCTAACAATTGAACTCAGAAGACTACTTTTCATTTCAATCTCAACCAACTTTTGCCTCTCATAGTTTCTTACTTAATTTGTATTTGTTAAAACCATGACAGGAACCCTATCATGCCATTATGCTCATTGAGAGCATTATATATGGATGTTTTCTTGCACTTCAAGAGTATCTATATAAAATGATAATACCAATATTTATTAGGAGGGGGAATACTAAGGAAACTCATGTATCATTTATATTTTATATACTACTTTTAATAATTTTTTTACAATATAAAAATAACAATAATTACTTTTAGATAGGATTGTTTATCAAACTTAGGGATGGCAATTTTTCTCATTTCCCCAAATCCCGTGGGTATCTGCCCCAAATGGGGTGGGGATGGGGATGAGTTTCTCCCTGCGGGGACGGAGATGGGGAAATTTTCATCCCCATTGGCTGAGACGGTGTGGGAACTGGGAGAGCACTCTCTGCCCCACGGGGACCCCGATCCCCGCTAATATATATGTATATATACACATGTTTATATACGTATATATACGTACTCAATAAATTATTGATACGTATTGGACCGTCTTAGCCGATACATATTGTATCGAAGGCTTTCCAATACGCCCCTACAGGAGGTGTTTCGGGGTCCTGACCAGTTCAGAGGGTAAATGGACCTTAAACCGGCCCCTCTAAACCAGATTTGAAAAAATAAAAATAAAAAATAAAAAAGCTATTGATACTACCCAGGCGTATTGATATTTTGAACCTTAGCTACATCTTACAAGTGGATGCTTTGGCTTGATCAGTATGGCTAGGATTGTAGTAGAATGCAAGGTCGATGATGAACATAAGTTTTTCTTTTTGGGTTTTAACTGTTCAGTCCATTCCTAGAAATCTAGAGCTCCACTCTAGGGGTGGACTGAATGTTGACCATGGATTGATACCAAATCGACGAACAGGGGGCATACTACTAGACTAGGAGGGGGCTGCAATTCAGATTTGTGAGGAGAGTTATCCTTTATTTTTTTGTCTACTTGCGTGAATTCAGAATGCAATGACCAATCTATCCCACTCCAACAAGTTTGACCAAATCCTAGCTGATTTAAAAAGCATTACCTTACAGTAGTTGTACATTTAACCAGAATTAAGAAAGTCAACTGTACTACATTTGTACTAACATTTCAAGTAGAAATAGTTCATTATCCAGGTTCATAGCTATATGGGTCTCTGTTTGGCAGTTCATTTAAGGGTCGCATTGGTTCAACCAGACTGCAAAAGAACCATAATGTGATGTGATCGTATTTCCATTATTCTTTGGATTTTATCGGAGTTTTGGTAACCCATCTTGACCCTGAACACTTATTATCCTCCAGTGGAGACCGAATCAGCCCCCTACAATGTCTCACAGCACATTTCCACATTTCCCCATCATGTATTGGTAATATCTCCTAATGATAATATCATCATTCCGAGTATTATCATCAGGAGATGTTCCCAATACACTATACAAATGTGCTGTTGAACGTTGTGGGGGACAGTCTTGTGGGGGGCTGATTTGAACTCCCTCTAGTGACCCAAAATTTGAGAAAGCCTATGGGGTCTTCAAGCGTCCACAATGTGGGAAGAAAGAAACCCATTAAAGGTTGAGTTTGTTGTTATTGTTCCCGTTTTTTGGGCCTCGGTAGCATACCGACCAGCCCACGGGACCATTGGATTCCACTGGTATTCGGATGAATGTAACGGATATAATGTACACGTTCACTACGTCAATCAGGCAATTTATATGATGAAACGTTCACGCTAAAGGGTTGTTAATTGTGGATAATGAGAATTAAAAAAAAAATGAAAGTCTTAGTAGCAGAGGCATTTTGTGATGGTAACGGCAGCATTTTGACTACAAATTTTAAATATAAATAAATTTTGGCTTCTTGTACATGCTTGCATGCAAGTGCAGCATCTTTGGTGTTCGCCAACATGTTTGATTCTAACAGTTGCCACATCAACAATAATAATATAATTTTGCTGATGTCACAATAAAATAATAGGATTATTCATAACTTATCATGATTTTTTGATATTTCTCTTAAATTAATGACCATTTTATTGTAATAAAAATTGTCCACATAAATATTCAAGTATTTTACATAACCAAACTATCTCAAATGACCAATCAAATTTATAATTAAATAATTTTTTATGACAAAGTTCTCAATTTGGGCCCTAACCCACATTGGGCTTAATACTTCAAGCCCAGACTAGGCCTGACTCAACAAGCATATATATATATATATATATATATATATATATATATATATATATATATATATAATTAGGAGTAATTTTGCCATAAAAATATTTAATAAGGTTGATTGGCCATTTCCCCATCATGTATCAGGTATAATGTCCCTAAAATAATAAATTTTGGCAAATGACGAGAACACCCTTAATTTCTCTAGAGCATGTGGAGTTACCCTGCTCAAACCTCAAACCAGGTGGCTAAGTGAAGATGTTTTCGGAAGTAGATATACTTAGCATGCAAGCATATGCATTCACTTTGGAGGCCAATTGAAGTATTACCGATGTTCGACCATGGCTGGGGCTGGGAATGGATAATTATTGGATCTGTCTCTCTCTCGTGGGAAAACGTTGACGTTGTTTGTTTTGGTGACAGAATGTAGCAACTTGACATATCAACATCACAACGTGCAAAAGGAATGTAAGGAACGCAAGGCACTTGTATAGGCATGAAGCATGCTGCTTCATAATCTTCTAAATGTCATTGTACGTACGTAGAATGTAAAAGATAAGGTCCTCTAAATAGTCTCACCAGGTCCTTGAGTTTGAGCGCTAGCTTCTAGCGACAAACAGGCAAAGCACTACCCTTTAAGCTCTGTTTCAAAATGGATTCAGGGTCGTCCACAGGGGTGAAGGCATCTCCTGTGAATCATTCTGTATACAATGTAAGGAAAAGCATCCGTGCAGCACTAAAGGTTCTGTTCCTGGTGGTGTTTCTGGGATGGCTGATGCTTTGGATTATGCTCCCAACCAAGACCTACAAAAACAAATGGACACCTAAACTGAGTGCCAAGGCCAAGGCTACTTATTTTGGGCCTCTTTTCTTCTCCGTTTTCTTCTAAATGAAATGATAGCTTAATTAGGATATATTCCTCTTAATTCCCTTATACTTTGCACAACTATCTTCTTTGTTAATTACAGGCACAAATCTTTTGCTTTTCACGTTCCCAATCATGTTCATTGCGGCATTTGGATGCGTGTATCTCCATTTAGGAAAGAAATCTGATCATAATTATTACCACGACAGGTAAACAAATTTTTACTGGATGCTAAGAGTTCGACATTTTCAATTCTTCATGGTTGATAGATATATGGTCTTGTGCAGATATATTCATGGAAGCTAACAGATAGAATTAATTAATTTGTTGGAATTGATTTGATATATAGAAAGCCGGCCGGTGCAAGTAGTCGCCTGGCCTACTGGAAACGGCCGGTGCTGGTGCAGTCGTCTCTTGGAATAGTCACTGCAATGGAGCTGGCATTTTCGGCCATGTTCATTGCTCTCATGATCTGGTCCCTTGCCAATTACTTGAATGTCAGCTTTCAGCACCTTTATGCGGATAAGAAAGGGGTGACAACGTGAGTGTATATGAAGTGTGAAATTTGAATATGTATAATTTTCTTCTCTTTTCTACTTTGTGTTAATTAGCTAGACTGTGTATAGATGGGATTTTATCACCCTTAAGGGGTTTGGCAGGTGGAAGTTGAAGTTCAGAAGTGTATCGCTTAGAGTGAGTTACGTGGGGAACATCTGTTGGGCGTTTCTCTTCTTCCCCGTGACTCGAGCATCGTCCATCTTGCCGCTTGTGGGTCTAACCTCGGAATCCAGTATCAAGTACCATATCTGGCTTGGCCACATATCCATGATCCTTTTCACCGCACACAGTGTGGGTTTCATCATCTACTGGGCAATGACCAATCAGATGTCTCTGCTACTTATTTACTCCATACTCCTTTTGATGCTTTTGACATATAAATAATTTACCCCGTTAGTTCCATGCTTTTCTTTTTAATATTTTTGGCTTCATGAACTACACAACGGAGCGAGAGTAAGTTCTGCCCCCCAATCCCCACATTCCTAGTGACAGGATATTCCATTTCCTGCCATCTAGAACAATTCAGATACCCCTGCAGCCAACTATAGAGACCTTACAAACTAAGCCAGCTTCACCCTGTAAATTGTTAGTATGTTGACTAATTATTATTGTTGTTGTTCGTGTTGTTATTAGTATTAGTATTAGTATGTGCCTTTAGCCACCGAAGGGGGAGGAGGAGGAGGAATGTACATGGTGGGTTAATGGGACTAGTGATAGGGATATATATAGGACCCGTTAGCACATGGAAAGCCTGCATATCTATCTGTCTATAGTTTTCACAGAATCTTTGTTTTTAACATGTAATTGATTCACTCAATCAGAAAGAAAATTTTATTAAAAAGAAAAATAATTACAAAATGTTAAACGGATCATCAAAAACTATCTCTCTCTCCCCCAATCACCTAAATCATTTTCTCTCCTAAACTATCTCCCCTTTCTCTTAAAACATCAACTAGTCTATCTCACGTGCCCAATAAATCAATTAATTTTAAGCATAATTTTCCCTCCTCCCCCTCTCTATATTTCTATCTTTATCTCTCTTTGCATTTTAAATATATGCATTTAATTTTTCATCAATGTATTAAAATATTAATGTTTAAGTTAGATACATTTTGGGTTGGTTCGCTTGTCTAAACTCCTAACCATAAAAAATTCATTTTTGGGTTGGTTCGCTTGACATTCATCTTGTTGGATGGTTTTAGAATCCATCATATAAATGGTTGAACTATGTTAGATGGTTGGGCAAAATTTAAAAAATTTTTTTAACCCTTTCGTGTACCGATTTTCTAGTAAATTTGAAAACTGAATTTTCATGATCGATCTTGCACTAAACCGAATTAGATTTGAAACCAAATTGAAACAGAATTATACCTATACAGAGACCATAAATTGTAGCTTCTAAGGTGGAAATTCACACCCAATATCAGTCCCAAAATCGGTCTGCAATTAAAGATGACAGTGTATAGGAGAAACCGATTCAACAACTTTGGTTTCAACAAATCTGCTATCCAACTAGCCTTGGATCAAGTGGGATGAATGAACCTAAGTTTCTTCAATGTTTTTCTTGCAAGAGCACAAAAGAAAACTGATAGAAATCGGTTCTTGAAAAGGCTAGGTCGTGATGGTTCACCCACTTCACTCTTTATCTTTATATGGAGCAAACTCCTAATCTGATTAGGAGATGATCCAAATTTAATTTGGATAAGAACTTTTCTTTTCTTAATTGATAAACATTATCCTTTTAAGAGGATAAGTGCTCCATGCCCAGTTTTCTTAAGTTGTCATGTGACAAATTAATTAATCATATTAGTAATGGGCCTTAGGCCCATTTTTCTTAAAGCCTCACGTCCTTAAGTGTTGCATGGCCACTTTGGGCCTAATATTGTATAGTGTGGGACTCCAAAAAGGTCTCACATAAGTTCATGGGGGTTTGGCCCTACCTTTGAAAGAGATTGGGCCGAATTCACTACTTAGGGCAGTGAACCCCTGAGCCAAACAACATGGGCTAAGTTTGGACCCAACATTTACACCTAAATGATTATTGGATTCAACCACCCTATGAAAACCCAAGGATAATGGATTTATGTGAGATAAAGTCCATCAGGTAATCAGCTTTATAATGGTCTTTTATACTTCACCTTTCAACCCATAATCAACAGTACAATGCCTGACATGGAAGGACCTCTCCCCTAGTTACAAGGTGTACTTTCACACTCTCTACTCAGATCGATCCCACGATTAAAACCTTTTGAAAATCTCTTTGCTAAATTAATAATATAATATGTAAAATATATTTTGCAAAACTAGATTTCAAACACAAGTGAAATCTATTGCCGATAGTTTAGGTTTCCATCAGAGAAAGTGTAAACCCTAATATTCACTTTGTTCAACAAAGGGGTTCATCATATCACTATGATCACCCACTCAAGTAATTTCCCAAATTGCTCCAACATGCCCAGATATTTGACCCTTGATGGATCTCATTGGTTACTGTATCAAAGGCAGCCCAATCCACTACTTAGTGCAATATCATAATTAAGTTTGGGGTTATGTTCAACCTTTCAGTTTTGCCCATTTATCTCCAAGGTCCAGGGCATAACTGGAAATAAGTCCAGGTTTAGTGTTTCTTTCAAACATTCACTGTCTGTACTTTGAGTCTAACCCTAGCAGTTGAAACAAACTGCTCTAACTATTTGGTAGCATACTAGTGCCAATCTTGTTAGGATAAACTCTCCAAGTCTATCCAATGGTTGAGAAGATTTTAAACTAACACAAGTCTCATAAGTATTCAGTTTAAGGGATAATACACAAAAAACATACCAATATATAATGAAACAACATTGTACTTTATTTATTTACAAATAAATGTTTATGTACATTAGTCTGGTTGGAGCTAAGGGCATACACTATTTAACACATCCAATTTGTTTTTCTCCTTTTATCTTATACTTTTTTTTTATTATTTGTACAAATTACTCATATATAACATGGTTATTAACTCCAAAGAAAAAATGATTCAAGAGCTTCCATTAATAGTGTGAGATCTTACGTCTTAACACATTGGTTTCAACTTACAATGCAGATGCTACAATGGAGTAAAACTTGGGTATCCAATGTGGCTGGAGAGATTGCTTTTGTGTTTGCTTTGGCAATGTGGGCTACGAGCTTTAACCGCATAAGGAGAAAGATGTTTGAGCTCTTCTTCTACACCCATCACCTCTATCCTCTATATCTCTTTTTCTATTTGTTGCATGTAGGAATCCCTTATTTCTGCACAATCCTTCCCGGTGTCTTTCTCTTCTTAATTGATCGGTACCTAAGATTCTTACAATCTCGGACAAGAATTCGCCTTGTTTCTGCACGTTTTCTACCTTGTGAAGCCACTGAACTAAACTTCTCCAAGAGCCCAGGTGAGACTTTAATGCAATCACTTTTGCTTTTTACATGTGTTTGACAATAAGCCACAATGGTGATTTTAGACTGAGTAGTTCTTTTTTTTTTTTTTTTTTACAGGGTTAACTTTTACTCCTGCAAGTATTGTTTTCGTCAATATCCCTAGTATTTCCAAGCTTCAATGGCATCCTTTCACAGTGACCTCCAATTGTGACATGGAGCCAGAGAAGTTGAGCATAATTGTGAAGAACGTGGGAAGTTGGTCCCAAAAGCTTTACCAAGTTCTTTCTTCCCCTTCCTCTCCAGACCGTCTTGAAGTTTCCATCGAAGGACCATATGGACCTACTTCATCTCCTTTTCTAAGGTCTGTGTTGATAGAAAAAACAAACAACATCTACTCAAGTAAATTCTTTTAAGGCTCAGTTTGGAAGGAGTACAAATGCAGATATGTACAATGTAAATACATACAAAATAATACAAAATTTAAGGTTTTGCACTCTACATATTTGTATTTATACTCCTTCCAAGTTCCAAACTGAGCCGAAGGGTCCCATTCATTTTTTGGATTTTGAGAGGGGGGAAAGTTGGTCAATGAGATTTTGGTTTCCATTGATCAATAAACCCATGTTCTTTTCTCAGATTTATGTGAGGTTTAAGAAAAACTTATTTTCCTTGGGTATCACTTACCTGGGTAAACAATCCTCATCTCCATAGGTGGGTAAATCTTATTTATCTCATAAACAAAAGAACATAGGTAAATGCAATTACCTTGATAAGTAACCTATCGAAAAGTGAATGGACTCTAAAACTATCTATTTCCATTCTTTCACTAAAATGCTATTTATTTTTTGAATAATTTTGATCGACATTGCTCAGGTACGATTTGCTTGTGATGGTGAGTGGAGGTAGTGGCATAACTCCTTTCATCTCTATAATTCGAGATATAATTTTGAGGAGCACCACTCCAGGCATAAAGATTCCACGGATGCTCTTGATTTGTTCCTTTAGGAACTCCGCTGATCTCACCATGCTAGACCTTCTCATCCCTGCCAGCACTGGTGCCACTATCGACATTTCACGGGTTCAACTTCAGATAAAGGCCTATGTAACCAGAGAGAGAGAGGCGTCCACCACCACTGATAACCAGAAGCTCATTCGGACCGTGTGGTTCAAACCCAACTTGTTAGATAAACCCATCTCTTCAGTTCTAGGCCCAAACCACTGGTTCTGGCTGGGTGCTATAATATCATCTTCCTTTGTCATGTTCCTCCTCTTTTTGGGCATTCTCACCCGTTACTATATTTACCCCATTGATCACAATACCGACGCTATATACCATTTCTCGGGCAGAGCCCTTTGGGACACATTCTTTGTATGCGTCTGCATTGTGGTAGTAGCCAGTGCAGTGGTTCTTTGGCACAAGAAACAAAACGCTGTTGAAAGGAAACAAATACAGAATGTGGATGTGCCAACACCGACCACGACTCCTGGGTTCAACAACACTGACACAGAGCTTGAGAGCCTTCCCCGCCACTCCTTGCTTAATGCTACTAATGTGCATCTTGGAGAAAGGCCTGATCTCAAGAGTAAGCTATATTTTTCTTATCCTTCTGACACTGCAAATTAAATCTCTAGATTATATATACAATAAGATCATGTTCGGGAGTGCTTATTTGAGTTATTAAGCACTTATTGGCATTTAGGAAATAAGTCTGAAAGTGCTTATTTTAAAAGTAATGGCTTATTTTTTAAACCCAAATTTCTAGATTTTTTAACTTCTTATATAATAAGCACTTATTCAACTTTTTCTTCCAAAATTAAAACACCACTTATAAAATTATCCCTAGTTGAATTTTATAAAAGTACTTTTATGAAAGCACTTTTACAAAAGTACTTTAATGAAAGTATTTTTACAAAAACACTTTTATAAAAGTACTTTTATGAAAGCACTTACATACTTTTATAAAAATGTTTTTATAAAAATACTTTCATAAAAGTGTTTTTTATAAAAATACTTTCACAAAAGTGTTTTTATAAAAGTAATTTAATAAAAATGTTTTCAAAGGATATATTTTGAAAATTTGAAAGAAAATGAAGGACAAAATACCTAATACAAAACTACCAAATACAAACCTTATTTAAATGCTTATTAGATAAAAAAACTACCAAATACCCAATACAAAATAAGTGCTTATTTTAAAAAATAAACACTTGAAAAAATTGGGTGCCAAATGCAAATAAATTTTTATTCAAATAAACACTTATTTTTAAGCATTTATTCAATAAGCACTTATTTTAACTTGCACTCCCTCACACAGACTAAATTAATTAATCCTAACAATGTGTATAAATTCCTCTTGCAGAGATACTATTTGAGTGTAAAGAATCAAGTGTCGGAGTTCTAGTTTGTGGTCCAAAAAAAATGAGACATGAGGTTGCAAAAATTTGTTCATCCGGTTTGGTGGATAATCTACATTTCGAGGCTATTAGCTTTAACTTTTGATGCATGTTCTACCGACCACAAGAATGCTTTGTAATGATGCATTGTATTGTGGATATTTAATAAAGATGCTAAACCATCAGAAAGAGAGCTAGAATTTTTCACCTGTGTTTTTGATTTTGTGTGGTGGGGCGGAGTTTACATCTGCGCTCCACAAGGGGGCACCCCACAATGTCCCACAGCACATTCCTGCCATGTATTGGGAACATTTCCCGATGATGATTTCATTGGTTCTGGTATTATCATTGAGAGATATTTCCAATACACGGCAGGGATGTGCTGTGGGACGTTGTGGAGTGCCCCCTTGTGGGGCGCAGATCTGAACTCAGTGGGTGGGGGCACGGTGGTGTATATCAGGTTAACCACAAACAATGGCCTGGTTGGGTTGAGGATCAAGTTAGGGTTAGAAGCCGGATGTATCAATGAATCACCAATACACAAAATACTTATGTTTCAGGGTTTGACCTGTTTCATGGGGGTAGACAGGCTTTATACCGACCCATGAACAGATTTGGAAAAAATCCAAAGTCTGATATGCCCAACCTTTCCTTGGACAATCCAACCTTGAACATATGTAGGATGACAATCCAGATCTCCTACTCCTATCCACATCTACCCACAGGACAACACTACATCTGTACATTAGGTATATCTTTCCATGAATGGTAACATATAAATATATGAGATGTTCTCAATGTGCCGCTGTAGTGGTATTTTGGTAGGTGTGCGCAGGATTCTTGTGGGTAGGAGATCCAAACTTGTAGGATGATATATATGCATGTCTTCTCTTTTGTAAAACATTCCCCGGTGTTTATATATCATTTGCATATCTAATGTGCTCGTATTTGCATTGGCATGGTAGTATGTATTTTGGTAGGTGAGGTTCAGTTCTACATGACCAAAACTGGTTTCAAGACCAAACTGGATTAGGGTTTAGAACTTCATGTTAAAGATCCGATTGGATTAGGGTCAGGGTTTGTGTTGAGGTTTTAACGTATTGGATTTGGATTTACTTACTTTAGCTCAGGCCTTGTCTACTTAAGCGCATGTTATGCACATTTGCAAGTATGTATGGTATTTGAATTTAATTTTTATGATTTATAGAAAATTCAATGCAAATATCTACTTAATATAATACTAGTGTAAATATAAAATTAAAGCTTAATTTGGAAATTAAGAGTGCAAATGAGCAACTTTATTGCCTATACGAGGCCGGAAAGAGACAACATAAGACTGAGTCCTTCACAAGATCCCTGCAATCCGAAATAATGGAGAACAACCACCATGGGCTCTCTCATCAAGAGTTGTCCCATGGCCTAACTATAAAGTTAATGTGTGATATTGAGAAAAGATAAAAGAAAAATCGGTGGACTTTAGATATTGAGAATTTGATTTTGGGTAATAGTGTAACTTTGATGATTATTCAAATAAACCATTATGTAAATAAGCTCTTTTTCTCTTAATAAGCTACTTTAAAACAGCTTTAGTTGGTGAGTGGTTTATATGTAGATTCGGTTGAAAGGTTTTTTTATCCAACATAAACAGTAAACATGTCTTGAGAAATAAAGCGTAATTAAGCACATCAACTCTGAAGAACAAAGCGTCTTCATTTACTGACAGCTTTTCCCAAAGTATTCAAATGTTCTAAGTTAAGCTTTTGGAGAAATGAATCGATAAAGAAGATCTCAATTGAGTATGAGTTGAAGACTATAAGTTACATATATATTGAAGTATTTGAGCTGATTCTCCCGAGACTATTGCTATCCTAATATGGTCTGATAGATTATAGGAACCTATTCATACCATAGAGTGAATTTATAGATCTCCACACAACATGTGCAGTCGACAATAAAAACACAAGAAACTCCCTAATCTTTAAACAAAAATAATAATAGAATCATCAAGCAAAACAACACTAAGAAAGATAGAATGCATGCAATCGACAAACACAAAAGCTCAAATCAACAACAAACCTATTACAACTGCAAAATAGCCCTAAATCACTCATTTTATCAATCTATCTATCTATATAAATATAGGAAGAGAGAGAGAGAGCTTTAGCCAAATACTACTATGAATATCCCTAATTGAGAGATACCACTTTGAATACCAAGAGAGGGAGAGAGGGGTTTGAGAAAGAATCTAATATTAGACACTAGATTTTGAAGGAAGAATAAGAATGGACGGCTTGTAGCATGATAATTTTTTGTGCTGCAAGCTAACTGGATTTTTTTTGTCATGGGCTCATATTTTGTTCTAAAAAATGAGGCCCATGGCAAGAATTATACCCAAATACTCTTGTGTTAGACATTGTTGCTCATTTTTATAAGAAAATGAGTAAGAATTGATGAAGCCCATGGCAGAATGCCAAACATGGCCTACATTTCTATTGAACTTGAATCAAATTCGGATATTGATGTTTTCTTCTCTAGTCAAATTTAAAGAGATCAAGTCAGCCCCCTACAAGATTGCCCCCAACATCCCACAGCACATCCCTGCCATGTATTGGAAACATCTCCCGATGATAATACCAGAAATGATGATGTCATCATCGGGAGATGTTCCCAATACATGGCAGGGATGTGCTGTGGGACGTTGTGGCGGGCTGATTTGAACTCAAATTTAAATATACCTCGCTGATGAGTGATGACCCAGTAGCTGAGATGGTTACTTGTTATCCCTCTAAAAATGGAGGTAGGTGAATGGACCGCACCCTGTTCTATCCTTACTCCTTTAATCCTCATATAATGTGTTATGTATACCAAAAAAAAATCAAATATTATCCCATCAAAGTTCAATTCAACCCATTTGTAGCCCTATTCTTTCATGTTTTACATTGTCACCAAAAACCAAAAGGACCCTATAATTTTCAATCTTTTTGAGTTTAAATTTCCATTTTACTCAAGCTAAATATCATATGTGTTCACCTAAAAAAAAAAGAAAAACAAAGACTAAATGCCCTATGAATAAGTCAAACTAAATAAATAGTTATTCTTCTTAACCAGTCAAACAGTGTAACAAAACGGGCAATTTGATACTTAAAATGTGCATGCCTTACCTTGCCTATTGCCTCTAATAGGTTATAGGCCTGTATAGGAATCTTCTATAGTTCTACTCAATGTTTTAAAAGCTGAGCCGGAGGCCAAACCATTTTTGCTTCTAGGTCATGGGTAGTGGTTCGACCAGCCGGGTTGAACAGTTCAGACCATGCCACATCACTATGTGGGTAAGGTAAGGCTTGGGTGTGAGTGGTCTCTTTGAAAGACAGAGAGAGGCCGGTGAGTAGGGGAGATTGGCTTTCGTGTTAAGGGTGCTAGGGCAAAGAAATCAAAGCGGAGAGCGCTCAAATGCTAGATGTTGGGTGTTGAGTAACGAATGATGAATTTCAATACGAGGAGGATCTCTATTTATGGTGGAGATCCTGGGATCCTAAAAGGTAGGAGATAAAGGTGCTTGTCTCCTATCGAAAAAGGGAATATTAGATTTGCTGTCAATCATTAAGTGCGCCACTGGGGTTTCACCACGTGTCTCATGAGGATTTTCTTGAGGATCGGATTTCCTTCCCTTCAAGATCCTTCATTACTCACATGTACTACTACCTCTCATGCACCTTATTTAATTGACGTGGCAATTAGTGACATCATTGCCCAGCGGGCAACATCCTGTTAACTCTACGTGACGCTCCGCCACGTCTTTTGATGGGCTATGGGTCTATTGCAGATTTGGGCACATGTGGTTCTCTCGCCAAAGGGCTCAGCCCAAGTTCCTCCTGACTCAAGTCGCAAATGGGTTCGTAGGCGTGCGGCGAACCGTGGGTTTACCACAGTTTTGTGGTGCACTTTGTGGGTTCATCGCAGAACCTGTGATGTGTTGTGGGTTCATCATAGTGAGAAAGTTGACTATGGGTTCCTTGCATGCAACTCCATTGTGTTAATTTAGTGTTTGATGTTCTCTAAAGGTCTAAAGCAAACACTATATACCTACATTAGCCCCCCATCTTTATTGGTAAGTGGGAGCTTATTGATAAGCAGCTTATTCTCTCGTCCTTGAGTTTTGTAGCGTTGGGTCTGGGAATTTTCCCTATTGTGTAGCTTTGTACAGATCTTGCATACCTTGTGTTCACAGTGGTGGTTTCTTGCATTCTACGGTTTAGCACCCTTGTCTTTTCACAATTTGCTTCTTGCGATGGTCAATGCCATTTTTCATTATTGTGTTTCAGCCCCCTGACCATCATTCTGCCCATGCATAAACTCGTGTACATTTTTAGCTCCCTTGTCTATTAGTGGGGAGGTAAATTGCAAAGGACACTGTGGGTCATCTTTGTCAGCTATTTTCCTTTCGCCAAGGGGTAAATTTGTTTTCAGCTTGTGAGTTTCAGCCCACCTGGCTGCTTGGGGGAACATCTATTTCACTGTCAGCCTCTTTTGCCCCCTGTTGTTAGTGGGAAAGAAAGGGGTTGATGTCATTAATGGCTTGGCGGAGGTGGAGTCCCCTTGTGTGATGATTCTATTGGTCTTTGATGTTTGTTTCTTGTTGATGAGAGGGTTGTATCGGCTAGTATTGGCCGACGAATGCCCATTGGACTCTATCGTAATCAAGTACAAGCATATTGCACATTATCATAGATCATTAGAAAAATGAACAGTGTTATTCCAATATCTGAGATGTTATCAAGTGCGAGGGAGTTAACCCAAGTAGCTAATTAAGGAGTTATCCCAATATCTAGACATTATTACGTGCTAAAGAATAACGCATTGGAGGAGTGAGCCGTGAGGTATGTATTAAGGTCCATATTTATAGGAAGGTTGTTGAGCTACTTTGTAGGGAAATGCAACTTTGCTACTCGTACAAGGACCACGAGCTGTCGTGTCTTAAGAAGGTGAGGCCTTTTATGTGTGATATATGTTTGGGGAAGCAACTAGGCCTAAGGGTTAATTATGAGCTTCAGACCTTTGTTACCTTTGTAGTAAAGTGTTGGTCATCGCATGATTCTTCCTATCAATGGTTGAAATTAGTGT